TATATATATATATATACATATACATCCACGATACACCGATTAAAGGTCTCGAAAAAACAACAGGGATGAAAGTGTTTCAGATGTTTTGTTTATTGGATCGGAAGAAAGGGGTTGATTAGGGTTGCGCAGGCGATTTAGGGATGAGTGAAATTTCGAATTGGCTCGAGTTGAACGAATAATCGGCCGTACAGGTCAATCAGGAGGAAATAGGGGCAAACAACGTTTGTTTGTCTTCGTTAATTTCCATGCCTGGTGAATTTTAAAAATTGCGCAAGGAATTCTAACTTACGAGGCACGATAAATTGCCCTCCTATCCCTCCCACTCTCTCTCTCTCTCCCCTTCCTTGTGAGCATGAAAAAAAAAAAAAGGAAAAAAATAAGGACGAAATTATCGCGGCGGAATCGATGAAAACGAGAGCAAATTTGCAGACTATATCGTCAAACTTGTCACGTAGTGTCGTAATTATGGGCGTGACCCGTGCCTCGATCCGATCGAACCAATCTTTGGGATGATTGATTTAATAGGTGGAGATATGGGCAGAGGCGGTGGAAGGTGTAGTAACCTAATGCGGAATACTAATGTCCGTTGATAACAGCGATTAAGAAGGGCCATCGAAAGGTCGTTCGAAAATTTAACTATGTTTCGATATAAAAGAGGAGAACCAAATTCTCCGGAGAGGTTGGAAATTCTCGAAGAGATTTCTTACATAAAACTTTAATATTCCCTTCATTGAAATTTCACGTCGTTTCACGTTAGAATGACGCAGGTATCTTGAATAAGGTATTTGAAGAATAAGCATAATTCGAGTCCATTTTCTTACGTTTCTGCTAAACGGTCTTTTCGAGAGAGGAAAGAAGAGAAAGAGAGCATTTGCTTAACTCATTTTGTAAGGCGATTTCGAGCCGAGCAGTCCGTTCTGCAAAGAGTTGAGCAAACGTTGCGCTCTGAAGCAAGATGAAACGGAACTTGTGGTTCCGCGCAAAAAACACGGCCGTTCCTTTTTATTTCTCGAATCTGCCGCTGATTCATTCTATATTCGAGAAGAACTTGGCACGATTTAACGAATGTGTTGTCAGCTCCTCGTTCACGATTGCCGTCCTATTCGTTCGTGTTGGTGCGTAATTGTGTGTCAAGTACAAGTCAACTTGTGGAAACTAAGGTGACGTAAGTTTGCTTGAAAAATACGAGGAAGGAAAAGTTGTGAAAAGCATACGGTACTTCTTCTCTTCCGTGATAAATATTGGATCATTTTTAAAAAAGTTTTCGCGATTTTAGAATTGTTCGCCTCGAACGAGAATAATTTTATTTCGAAATGTAATTTTTCTGCTTTAAAACGTATTATTAACTGTATTATAAATTATCGTTGGATTTTACTTCGAATCGTCTCTCTCGATCCCTTCAAACGATTTTTAAAGATCATCTTGATTCGATTCTTGATTAATTTTCAATTAACTTCTTATTTTTACGTTAAAAACGATCCTAAAAACTTCGAACGATCAATATCATTTTCGATCATTCTTGATCTGAAAAAAAAAAATTAAATAAAGGAATTAAAAGAGTTTGCCATTTACTTGAAAGATTAGTTACTGCAACAATATTGTTCTACGCGACAATGTTACTTGTAAATCCCTCAATTTCAAGCGGAGCAGATCTAATTCGAAGTTAATCTTTGCGAAAGCTGTGCTATTATAAGACGTTCAAGGGTGGGCGGTTTAACGCAAACACAAACTACGATCCCGGGCTATCCCTTCAATGTCTTTACAACAAACAGAATAATCCAGTGTGGATAGGCAGCTGTTCCTGTTTTTTTTAAAGATTCTCCCGGAATCTACAATAAAATACGACCGCCACGTGGCAAAAGAAATTCGATTCTGCGCGCGGGAACAGCTTTCCTCTTTGAGCCGACGCCTGTGAAAAGATTTATGAAGGCTGGGCGTAAAAAAAAAAAACAAGTAAGACGACTCTTACTTTCCTTCTTTCCATCTTCTCCACCTTGACATCTCCCAACAAACTTATCGTTTCTTCTCAGGCGAAACTCTCGTTTTCGATCCTGAAATTCGTGAATGATTAAGAATAGAATGAAATGATATAATATAACTGATAACACGATGCCCACCTTTCACGAGTTGCTTTTTCTTTAATCGTTCCACGCTCTCAAAGAATCTGAAAAAGAGATACGTATTAAAATCTTCGTTTAGGGAAGCAATGATTTTAAATAATTTTAAAAATCCTCTGGAAGAATTATATCGTTCTACCCTCTCCGTCCAATCTTACCAGAGAGACATATCCCAATAATCCTCTGGATGTTTCCGACAATCCACCAACTATCCATGTCCCGGAATCATCGGAATTTTACCGTAAGGATATTTTCTTTGTTCACCAATTACGATCGACGTAATTCCATCCGGATTAATCCGAATTATTTTGATCGAGCGCTTCCGCCTACGATCTTCTCGAGCGTTTAGTTATCCAAGCTCGAGAGATTGTCGAATAATTACTGGCCTATAACTCGGTTTGACGAACAACCGACGTAGCATTTACATTCCACACTGTTTAGACAGTGGTGGCTCGCCCATATAATTTCATCCGGGCACCTGAGAAGCCGGCCTCTCCTCAGACGCGGTACACGGATTTCTCGGGATTGATATATGTGTACGGGTGTCGAACCCTTTCATTTCGAATCGACCCGGCCTATTAAGATTTGCGCAACAAAGTGAAGAAATTAAACGAGTCCCCTTAAACGGGTACAATTATGCAATTAGACGGAATACTATATTTCGCCGGTGACTAATCATAACTATAAGAATAACTGCTCGACCACGAAATGATCTCGAAACTCTTNNNACCTTTGTCGCTCCAAGATTACGGGGTTCCTAGGCTTTTTCTCTTTCT